CTCTTTCCTGCCTACGCAGGAGGCCCCTACTGACCCTAACATCTATGAATAAACCTGGTTGAACACAGTATCAGACTTAACTGGACTGGGTCAAACCAGTTAATGGAATTTCTGTCCCAGACCCATTTCCTGGTTTAACAATCAGAGTCCTCCAGCTTCCCAGCATGCTTTTCAGCCCTGGGCTGGGCTGTGCTGTCTGCTCCAGAGAGTAGAACTGGCCCCACCCCTCTGCTCTCTAGCCAGAGCAGGAACAGGGGCAAGGCCCGATGCTGGCCTAGCATGGCCTCCTAAGATGAACAGGGCCATGCTGATTGGTGTCTGGCCACCGCTCCTAGCCCCTGCCACTGGACCTTTTGGTGAGGAGGGACACTGACAGGGCAGCAGTCCCTGTCATGGTGTCCTGGGGAGCACAAGCCTCTTCCCAGTTGTGGGACTGCACTACAAGTAGGCCAGACAGAGCTGCCACAGCCTGCGCAGGGTAAGCAGCAGCAGTGGTGGTGCTGGGGGGATGGGAGAGCTGGAGGGCTATGGCCACCCCAAAAATTCAGCTTGGCCCCTATAGCCACACATCCAAGCCCTGCCACTGCCTCTTGCCCCATGCAGGCTGCAGTAGCTCTGCCTGCTCCACTCCCGCCCACAGCGCAGCCCTCCCACCAGGAAGAGGCTTGTGTTCCCCAGGACACCATGACAGGGGCTGCTGCCCTGTCAGTGTCATGCCTCCCTGACAGGTCCAGCAGCAGGGGCTAGGAGGGGCGGCCAGACACTGGTCAGCATGGCTCCCTGAGGTGAAGGGGGCAGGGAGGAAGTTTATTTCCCGCTCCCTCCCCTCTCCCACCTCGGAACCCCAGCCGGGGTCTGCCTGGCCAGAGCCGAAAGACAGAGGCAGTGGCCAAGGTTGGCCAACCCCAGCTGTGATCCCCCAGAATGAGAGGGGGGAATAAATCCCCTCCCTGCTCCCTTCGCCTCAGAGGACCATGCCAGGCCAGCATCTGGCCATGCCCCAGACAGCAGCAGCGGGCAAGTCATAGGTACAGCACAGCCTCATGTACCAGGCACTAGGTGCAGGGCGCTACCCCTGTGGCTTCCCCACCGTCACTGCCATCTGCCCTCCCGGTGGCCAACCACAGTTCAGTGGAGCACACGGCGCCAACCAGCACAGCCAGGGTAGGCCTGCCTGATGTCAGTGGGAAAGCTGTAGGGGTAGTGTCCCACTCCCCGAGCTGCACGCTCACCACAGCTTGGCTCTACCCCAGGCTAGTGCCAGGATGAAGCCACAGCAACCACAATCCCTCTCTGTGTGCTCCCACCTGTGCTGGGTTCAGATGACCCCAGCCAGATACCCATCTAACCTCCTCTTGAAGACCCCCAAGGTAGGGGAGAGCACCACCTCCCTTGGGAGCCCATTCCAGACTTTGGCCACTCTAACTGTGAAGAAGTTCTTCTTAATGTCCAGTCTAAATCTGCTCTCTGCTAGTTATGGCCATTATTTCTTGTGACCCCCAGGGGCGCCTTGGTGAGTAGAGCCTCACCAATTCCCTTCTGCAGCCACAAGGTCACAAGGTCGCCTCTCAACTTTCTCTTGCAGAGGCTGAAGAGGTCCAGGTGCCCTAGTCTCTCCTCGTAGGGCTTGGCCTGCAAGCCCTTAACCATATGAGTGGCCCTTCTCTGGACCCTCTCCAGGTTATCCACATCCCTCTTGAAGTGTGGTGCCCAAAACCGGACGCAGTAGTCCAACTGCGGTCTGACCAGCGCCCGATAGAGGGGAAGTATCAGCTCCTTGGCTCTGTTTGTCATGCATCTGCTGATGCACGATAAAGTGCAGTTAGCTTTTCTGATTACTTTGTCACACTGCTGACTCATGTTCATCTTGGAGTCCACTAGGACTACAAGATCCCTTTCTGCTTCCGTGCAGCCAAGCAGGTCATTTCCTAGGCAGTAGGTGTGCTGGACATCTTTCCTCCCTAGGTGCAGCACTTTGCATTTCTCCTTGTTAAATTGCATTCTATTG